TTTTTTTTTTGACTCTCGAAGGGATAATAGCCATTGACTTGCATTATATGAATCACACGGTTCACGGTTTTAGCCGAAAATCTTCTTTACTGTTCTACTGAAGAAAAAAAGTCACTTACGTCTTGAATGGCTTGAGGTTAAGTAAATTAACAACAAATTTTCGTTTTTGGGTGAACTATACCTTTCATTTGCACTTTAAAATGCCTGAATGCCATTGCATTAGCTAACAAATATCAAGCTCAAGTGTGTAATTTCTTAGCCACTGGCTGCACCAATCACTTCTTGGTAATAAATGAGGTTACTAGCAACTAGCAGACCTAGTAACCGATGATCTGCCTGCTTTTCTGCTATTCATCTCTTCATGTCACAATAACTCACAATGGCTTTTACCTTCTGTCTGTTTATCTGTGTTTTACTCTTTGGGCTTCTTTGCTTTTGTTTGTTTTTTTGGCTATTATCATCTGTCTGTCGGGCTGGATGTGTATGTGTGTGTGTGTGTATCTGCGCTCCGTGTGACTCCAGTGTCTGTCGCTCCACCACCTCCTCCCATGGTGCAGCTGACGCCCCAGATTCCTCTCACTGGCTTTGTGGCCAGAGTTCAGGAGAACAGTGAGTAATGCACACAGAAGCATAGTGCTTAGTCCTTCACATATGGACTCCGCTCACCTACCTGTAGCCTGCACTGTCTGAATCATTCTCTGAACCTGAAATTTTGCATTTATTTAATGTAGCATTTTATTGGAGGTGTTTTCTAAGGTTAACAGCACTGTTGCTATTGCTCATATTTAGGGTCAATGACAATCTATTGATTTTAATTTATATAATGACTTGAATAAATGTCCTCTTTGATAAACATTTTTTTAATTGATTAATTTAATATTATTGGGGGGCATAAAGTCCAACACTCCTGATATCATAATGAGGAATAAGTAATTAAAAACAAACATTTGACAAGATGTTTAGTTATTGGCATCTATTGTTATTATTTCTTAGAAAGAATGTAATAACCATTGATCCACTGAGGAATTATAGTATACGCATGTGAAATAGTATCGTTAAAAAAAAAAAAAAAAACATTTCGTCGTACCTGGTAATAATTTGATTGCATTAAAAGTAGATAAGAGAGGTGTTTATAAATTTAGGATTCTGAATTATGTCATAGATGATGGTTTCCCCCCCTTCTATGTCCTCCAGTAACAGACAGCCCGTCTCCACCCCCTCCTCCTCTACCTGAGGACACGCTCATGTTTGAGGAAGCAGCTCCGCCCCCTCCACCTCCACCTGTGGATTATGATGAAGAAGACGCAGCTCTGGTGCACTATAATGACCCCTATGCGGATGGAGACCCGCACTGGGCCCCAAAATCCTACTTAGAGAAGGGTAAGAGAGCGCCTTCTGCCTTTGAGTTGCCATTTTCTCCTCCTTCAAAGTTCTTTTTAATTCATTTTTTATTCTTTTTAATGTTTTGAATTGAGAATGGCTTTTCAATTTGTGACGGTAAATAAGATGCAGATGGATGTACTGATGTATAGATATAGAAATGGACAGACAGATAGATAAATAAATAGACTTTCTAACCCATGTCATACTAACCCTGTCTCCTTTGTTTCAGTGGTGGCCATCTATGACTACACAAAGGACAAAGATGATGAGCTGTCCTTCATGGAGGGCGCCATCATCTACATCATCAAGAAAAATGATGATGGCTGGTTCGAGGGCTTGTGTAATGGTGTGACCGGACTGTTTCCTGGCAACTACGTTGAATCCATCATGCACTATGCCGACTAATGCTAAATCCCAGAGACATCAGACAATGCAGCCAATCAGTTACAAACCATCGCAAAGTGCATTAGGATATGACTGAATGTTTGTTTTTGTCCAATCGCCAATGTATCCAAGCATCTGCAGTGCTCAAGGTTTGAGGAGACAGGGCTCGTATTGCCTCTACAAAGAATATGAGAAGAAACAAGTCGCACTGCTTTCTGGTTAGGTTGCCTCATACATTTTGTACATATATTACAGTGAGACGTTGCCTGTAGGCTGTTGCTAGTGTTTGTTTTTGTGCGTGTTTTGTCATTGTATAGAGACCCGTATTTGCTAAGTGCCAGCTAGGGCTAGTTAGTTTTTTGTTTTTTTTTCCAAAAAACGTTTTTCTTGTTTTGTTTTTTTAACTAAAGGCTACGTTTACACGACAACGATGTAGTCAAAACGGAAAAGTTTTCCCCTTGCGTTTTAAAAAAAATTCACGTATACATGAGATTTTCAAAACGATTCGCATTTACACTTACGCGAAAACGGCCAAAAACGCTGTATTACGTATGCCAGGCCAGTAGTTGGCGCTGTCACCTTGTTAGTAAACAGTACCTGTAGGGAAGTAACGATTATATGTTGTATATGATGCGTCTCCGCTGTTGGTTGTAATATTGGTGAAGTAAATCCACACTTTGCTGAAGAAGCGTTAGCAAACTCTTGAGCAGCAACAACGGTACTCCGCCATTGTTGTGTATGTTTGTTAGCGCTTGCCTTTAAAATCGACACGTACTGCGCATGTCTACATACCTAACACGCACTACGCACGCACATGACGTCACCGTTTTCAAAGATTCCCGTTTTGGGTGTTTACACGGAAACGACAACGGTGCCGTTTTCAAAAACTTCCACTTTGAAACCCGTTTTCAAAAATATGCGTTTTCAGTCCCCAAAACGCCGTTGTCGGGAAAACGAACAGGCAAAACGCATAAAAAGTTTCCCGTTTTTGGCTGAAAACGTTGTCGTGTAAACGGCCCCTGAGTTTTGAAGTCAGCAAAAAGTAGCGTCACACAAAGGCTAATCATGACCGATCATTGTTTACATTATCAGTCACCGCTGTCACTTCAGAAAACTCATGCACATCCCTATTAATAGTCCTACTATGTATTATATGTAGCTAGTGTTGTTGTAATGCTTAAATATAACAATTTAATTTGAAATAACCCAATAAATACATTAAATAATTCTTACTGTTTGGGATTTAAGACAAGCCTGGGGCTGTCCTAAATTCAAGAAGCTATTTATGATGACTTTTAAGAAGATTATTTTCAAGAATTTGAATTCTTCTTAAAGGGGTCATATGATGCTGCTAAAAAGAACATAATTTTGTGTATTTGGTGTAATGAAATGTGTTTATGCGGTTTAAAGTTAAAAAAACACATTATTTTCCACATACTGTACATTATTGTTTCTCCTCTATGCCCCGCCTTTCTGAAACGCGTCGATTTTTACAAAACTCATCGGTCTGAAAAAGCGAGGTGGGCTGGCTGCAAAAGGGAGTCGAATCCCATAGACTCCCCATTTTAAAATGCCCAACTTTACAGCAGAAAAAGACATGTTTACAGCCTGGTTCAAAAAATTATTTTGGTCTATATAGCTAATTTTGCCCTTCATGACAACTGTGAGAAGGGTGAATTTATTTTTATAACTCATCCGTTTAAATTATATTAAGCCTTAAAGTTCTGCATAATTAAGGGCGTGGCCACTTGAGTGACAGGTGGATTGCCGCTGCTGTCACCGGCGTCGAGCTAGGTGGGCGTGGTTTCAGCAACAAGCTCCAGTTTTTGCCCATTTTCGATTATCCGGGAGTGACGTGCGGGGACGCGCTGCCAAGATGGCGACGGCCGGCTCCGCCCACTTTGAGCTTCAAAAACGCTCTTCGGAAACCTACGGGTGACGTCACGGACACTACGTCCATGTTTTTATACAGTCTATGGTGTTTACATGGAAACGATAAAGGTGGCGTTTTCAAAAACTTGCACTTTGAAACCCATTTTCAAAAATATGCGTTTTCGGTCCCCAAAACGCCGTTGTTGTGTAAACGAGCAGTCAAAACGCATAAAAAGTTTCTAGTTTTTGGCTGAAAACGTTGTTGTGTAAAGGGCCCCTAAACTGTCAAGCTCTTCCTTTACGTGAGGAAGAAATATTTGAATGTAATTTCTGGAATATTGTTATGCCTGGAAAATAATTAGGCAACAATATAAAAATGACAATTATGTCTTTACCTTCGTTTCACCTTCAGGATTTGCTAATATTTTCTATCCTAAAGACCAATGCAGTAATGTGTAGTGATGGGAAACCGAGGCTTTCTGAAACGTTTGAGGCTTTCATCAAATTGTGCCGAAAAACGGTTCTTTACTCGAAGCTTTTTAACACCGTGCGCATTAGCGACATCTGGTGGTCAGACTCTGTTTCTCCAGCCTATAACGAAACATCGCGGAACAGAGGATGGTTTGAAAAAGTTTTTAATCTGTGCCAACTCGTGTCATGCATAGTCCGGTCAGTGGATTCACATTTTGATCAATAATATAAAATATACAAGTGTGTGATTATAATTAATAATTGGCGTGAGTAGTAGCAAAAATATTTTGGGTGAGCTTTTCGGGGTCTCTGAGACCCCAGCTAGAACATGATAAAATGCAAGGTGTGACGTACATTCAGTTTCTGTCTGGTGTTGAGGTTATTCTAAACTATTCTACTGAATCCCAATTAAGTGTACACACACACAACCAAGTCAATGTAAAGTCAAACACAAGATTTTTTTTCAAACCAGCTGTCCCGACCTTCCGATTCTGAATGACGTTCGAAGCTTCAAACGTCATCAATCACGTGGTATTGTCATTTCGATACAAGCGTCGGCACAGTGTGTGATACAATGGTGCTTTGAAAACTGCGTAGGAGTCTCGGTATCAATCGTCCCATCACTAGTAATGTGCAGAGATTCTCCTGCATATCAGACTAAACTTCATAAACCTGTCAAAAACATGTCCACACTTTATATATTTCACCCAAAAAATGGAAAAAGAAATGATAATAACAAATTATATTTTGTTCATAGACAATGATGCCTTTTTTTTGCATTGCGGCATTATTTTCATGACAGTTAAGCACATTTCCCCCAAAATTCTTCTGACCATAATGCAAAAAAAAAAAAAATCTCATTCTCATTGCTGTAATGTGACAATATAATATATTATTTTAATTGTTTGTATGCATTATGGTAGTCTTTCTTGTACTGCAATTAATTTATGCTGATTTAAGCATGAAAAATGTATTACATTAATGATAATCAATAATGAGAATTATAAAAAAAAAAAAAGTAAAATGCCTATTACATGCAAAAATTCTTGATGGTCCTACAGGCTTCGTTTCCTTTATGCAAAACAGTTTTTTCTTTTGTGACTTAGACCTGTTTTCATGAGATTCACCCACTTGCTGTGAGTTTAAACTGTGCAAAGCTGATCTTTGATGGGGTTTTTGTTGAAACTGCTGAAGTGTTGTGAACTTTATTATGTTGCACTGAGCGGGCGACACTGGCTCACTAGCTGAACCAGTCTCTAGCATTGCCCACAGATTCAAATGTTTCATAATGTAGCAGAAATCAGTTTCTGTCATTGTAGATTTCATGTAGGGGGACCATGCAAAGCTGAATTTGTCTTTCTGTTTTGACCAGTTCACAAGTTTTGCTGAATTTAGATGATAATGTGGGGGGGGGGGATCAAGTTTAGTGTATAGTACTGATGAATGTGAGCTCATAACTGTTAGCATGGCACAAACATCATGGTGACTCTGGTTGCTGGTTTTTAGAAGCGTCTCAAACAGCTGTTGAAGGCGAGCAGTGTTTTAATTTATTTAATCAAATGAAATATCTGTGAGGATGTAACTCGCATAGAGCTGTCTGAACAATGACCACTTAAAATGTTAAGCATTGCAAGGCCTTGTCATATGATGTGCAAGTGATCTGTAATTTAAATGTTCCTTTGCAGGTTATCTGCAAATAATATAATCTCTATTATCGTTTTGTATATATAATCTGTTTTTCTTTTTATGTACAGTCTCTTTTTATAATAAAGCACTCTCCTGTGCAACATCTTGTGCTAGATTTGTTTAGGTGCCTGGATGACAAAAGAATCAATTTGGTTTTCATTTTAATTTTTAATTCAACGCAAACACACAAAAATAACATTTTTAATCACCTGTCCCCGGCAGGATTTAGTCGGTAGTCACTGTCATGGAAACTGTCAATACAAACACAGTCTAATCTGAATTTCCACTACACCCAATTTCTTAAAGAAAACAATTAATTCTCCATCCAAAATTTCCACCACATCAGTGAGAGAATCTGTTCATCTAAATGGATAGCAGAGGGTAATGTGGGTCTGAAAAGGAACATTTCTATCCTCACACTGATTCCCAACCAAGGGTACCAGTAGCGAGTTTTCCCCCCCTATTAAGCAGAAATACTTTAACATTGTCAGTTTTAGTTTTGTACATTTTTAGGACTAATAAGTTCAATATAAGTTCCACTTCTAGTGTCATATATGTGCATATATAAATACTGTATAAACATGCAATGGACTATACAGGCAGCTTCCTTATACGTGATTCAGAAAGAGACTTAATTGAGTTCATAGCTTTTGTTCCTAAAATCCAGTTTTATGAGCAAAACTTAATGCACAAGCTTAAAGGGTTAGTTCACCCAAAAATGAAAATGTGATGTTTATCTGCTTACCCCCAGGGCATCCAAGATGTAGGTGACTGTTTCTTCAGTAGAACACAAACGAAGATTTTGAACTCAAACCGTTGCAGTCTGTCAGTCATATAATGGAAGTGAATGGGAATCACGGCTTTGAGAGTCAAAAAAAACATACACAAACAAAACCAAATTAAACCCTGTGGCTCGTGACGATACATTGATGTGTAAAGACACGAAACGATCGGTCTGTGCAAGAAACTGAACAGTATTTATATCGTTTTTTACCTCTGATTTACTGCAATGTCCGAACTGTTCGAACTGTCCTGAGCGTGTTCTCTTCTTCTTCTTGCTTTACGGCGGATCGCAGAGATGTAAACAGCCAGGTCTGGTTTCTCCTGTGTTACCAAGAGCTCAGCAGCAACATCTGTTTGCTCTAATCTTCGAGATCCTGGGTTGAGGTGTTTTGGAGCCTCTGTTGGCCACATGCTCTGGGAATAAAATGCATGCACTATTACAGAGAAATTATGAAAAGAAATATGAAACACTCAAACACAATAATCTAAATGACCAAACAGAGGCCTTTAGCTTTAAAAATGTAAAAATAAAAATGCAAATTAATACAAATATTATTATATCAAAAAGTTATGTCATTATATTCAGCATTTAGTGTGCTTGTGTTGGTCTATATGTAGTGCATCTGGCAAATCAAACAGTAGCTGTTACATGAAAGGACATCGACACAAACATGTAATTAATTCATACACAATTACACATCAGTTGCATTTAAGAGGTGTGCATCACTAGACGTATACATGTGGGAGCTGCTTCTGGTGGTTGACAGAAGTAACACCAGAAGCTTTAAATGATCCCACAGCAGGTTATGGCTGGCAGATGAAAACAAACACATGTCTGTTGTAATTAAAGATGTTGGTTTGTAATTACAGATGCTTAAGCATAGAATTAACCCTGTACTAAAGAGCTCAAATTATGACATATTCCCATTGACATATTTTAAGAAAACTGTTAAGTATATATAATTAACATATTCTTTACATACAAAGAAACATAGAATTGGGAGGATACATTTCAGTGAAAAAAAAACAGTTGCTGTTCGCCATATGGAAGTCAATGGGGCCCAGCAACTCTGTGGTTACCAACATTCTTCAAAATATCTTATTTTGTGTTCAACAGAAGAAAGAAACTGGAAGAACTTGAAGGTGAGTAATGATGACAGAATTTTCATTTCGGGGGTGACTATGGCTGTAATGCAAAACCAACACAACGACAATAATAAATAATAATATTTGATGAGGCAGGTAATGATTAAAATTCCACTTTGAATTATGATGCCCATTTTTGTGTCCATCAAATGCCACGATAAAGCTATATTCTCTACATTTACTTTCTCTTTATAAATTGCCAGTTAAAGCTGACATGAAAAAGTATCATATCTGGGAACTCTATGGGTTAACTGAGGTTTTGGGGAAACCTGTTGCCAATTAAGCGTGTGGAATGCCACATATAGACATTTCCTCAGAACGTCCACCACAGGTTTCAGAGCACATGTTCCCTTCCAGACAGACAATATAACCGCTTTAACAGTTTAAAATGTTTGTTTTATTCACATTTTTGCTTTCACAGTTGTCGGAACTGACCATGTGGACAATGTGTTTGGCTCTGCTCTGATTCATTCTATGGATTACAAGAGACCCAAGTTTATGAGTCTTTAGCATTTTTTCTATTGCACTGTGCACAAGCTGCGATGGAAACTCAATGGTTTTTATTTCTCATCTGTCTGATGATGTGTGGAGGAGACACTGAAAGTGCACCTGAAATTTGCACAGGAGCGCACTGCCAAAGGTCTCCGTCCAGATCACCTGATCACCAGAGCAGATATTCAATTTATGCTCCAAGACGCCCATCGGTTCCCTACACGGTAATACATCCGCAGCACAGTAGGACTGGCAGTCCGAAAGTAAACCCAAGGACCATCACGGCTGAGGTGTTCAACCCACAGGGATGCACGGGAAGAGGTTGTCATGGCTTGCCAAGACCGACAAATAATGATACAAATGATTGCAAGGGAATCGGATGTAAACTACCTGTACGGATGCGACAAGATCCCAAACAGCATTCCTGTGTCGGAGATGCCTGCACCACAGGGTCAGATGTTGGAAGAAGCAGACTTTCATTTGTCCATATGCAGGACAGAGCCGAGCAAGTATTGGGGGAATTTCCCGAGCTGGGAACTCGAGGGGGGCCATCAACTGGAATTCAGTTAACATGCGACATCAAACCAGGTAAACAGTGATTGGGTGCTTGGTGTTATGATATCAGTCCTGTATTTCTGTAAAAATGGTAATACACTTGCTAAATTGCAAACCATGCGGTCATGGCCATACGGAATTGACTGCATGTTGGATTGTTGCCTGCTCCCTCAGGCAGTTTGTAGAAGCATGTCAATTTAATTACAATATTAAAGCATGCATGTTATCAATAATTGAATGTGTCTCAAATCTAAAGCTTCATTTCAAATAAAAAGTCATACTTTTCCTTCAATTTTGACCAGGCACAAATGAGGTCCATTCTGAAGATGCATTAGTGTTGCATTTGCACTTGGCAAAAGGTCAGGATAAACTGGTGGCACAGTTGCAGGGGCAGCAAGCTGAAGTTAAGCAACTTCAGAACACACTGAGAGAACAGCAAAATGCTCTACTAGCCCACCAAAGGGAAATACTGGACCAACAACGGATTAAGTTTGAAAAGATGGAGGAAGTCAAGACCCAATACAACCTTCTTCTTGACAGCGTCAAACAGATATCTGTACGAGGTCCACAGGGCATCATTGAGAGCCATTTAGATGGTCTCCAATCCCAGGTTAGAACCTTTTCTCAGGAGGCCTTGAACATGGATGCTAGTGTTACAGATGCTGAGAGACCTCTACTTGGCTGTGGATCCTGCCGAGCAGATGAGTACTGTGACTTCAGTGCAGACCGGCCACATTGTGAGAAATGCACTGTTTGCCCTCCGGGATTCTTTCTAGTGGCTCAGTGTTCAATTCATGCTGACAGGATTTGCCAGGTACGTCTTCTACTCTATTGCTGTACCAAAATGCTGTAATTGAGGTTTATGTGAATTTAAAAAGGATCATTTTGATCATAGTGCAACCAAATAGAATTGATGTCATTTATGCAAACAAAGAAATGAGTTCCAACACTTGCTGTCACAGCTTGTATAGTTGTAAGGTAACAACTATAATTGTCCAATAGGACAGAGACGAATGCCTAGAGATACCAAACTTATGTAAGGAACTCAACCAGTGCCTCAACACACCCGGTAAGTTGGCTACCAGACTTCCAGAGGTGTTTAAGGTTTGCTTCCTAAGAGATTAAGCACAATGCATTGTTTCAGGGGGATTTCGCTGCTCCGGCATGTCGGAGAGGGAAGCAGCCGCCGGGATGTGTGGGCACTCTTACTTTTACAGTTCTGAGATGGAAGAGTGTCAAGCCTGTACAGAATGCGATTCTCAGCCAATGACGTCCCCATGTTTGGCCTTGAGTGATGCGGTTTGCGCCAACCCCTCTGAAAGCAAGCTCTCTCTTTCCTGGTCTGGTAACGTTGACCTGGCCAAGGGTAGTGAGCTTCCTGATAAGCAACTTCACATCCGTGGTAACAGTGACGGAAGCCTTCTTTCCTGCACTGATGGTTGGATAGTGCTTCACCAGCATGGTCTTGTTTGGGTTGACCATAATCTTGCTTTAAAACATGGCTGCCGCAGCTTTGTTCAGGCATGTTTACGACTAAACGCCAGTGAAGATGAAGGTCGGGATCTGAGTGGGATGCGTTTGGAGCATCGGGAGGGGAAATCTCTCCAGAGTGCCAGTGTGAGTGGAGCAGCTGCTGTGGAGCCAGGTCATGTACTCTACCTTTCTCTCAAGAGCGCCACCAACCAGTGTAGCCAAGACAATGAAGATGTGCACCTTCAGAGCAGCCTAATCTCACCTTTCAGCTTGCTCTGGTTGTCTCATGACACAGGCGCGGTTGCAATGACTGCTCAGGCCGTTGCTTCTGTGCACTACCACACCAACTACCGCCCTGCTTTCCATACGTCATCCATCTCTGACCCCTACATGGTTGGCTTGACCCATGACAACCGAGGGGTGCGCTTCAGAGAAAGTGGCACTGTGAAGTTTGTCCTCCAGCAAGCATTGTACTCCATGGGTCAAGCCTGTATCTCCGAGGGCTTCTACTTGCTTGCATACGTGAACCACAACGGAAGCAGTGCTGAGCTGACCCGTGCATTCAAGCCCGGTGTTCACTACAGAGACACATCTATATCTCTGTCGGCAGCCACCACGGTGGATTCTGGGGATATGCTCACCTTTGAGATCCTTGCACCCGCTCAGTGCAATGTGCGCTACTTCGGTGACGACTCTGGGATCAGCATGCTCAGTCTGGTGTGGATCCCTTCAGCTGTGTCCACTGCCTTGTCGGCCTCCATGTCCAGGAGAGGTCTCCCCTCTGGTGCAGTGCGGAATAAAGCCTTGTTCTTCCATCAGACAAGTCCAGCGGTTCCACAAGTTGCACTTGCTGGAACCAAAGATCACAGAGACTTCATCTTTCGGGAAGCAGGGACAGCAAGTGTGGCTTTAGCTCTGCAGCTTATCCACTCATGCAGTCTAATCAAACTCACCTTGCTCCAACAGAGTGGGTCTCAGGGGGTTCAGCCAGCCCCTGTAGCTCAACAGATTGGTGGACATATTCCAGAGGGAAGCGTATGGGCAAGTGTGGGACTGAGGGTATCTTTCCAGGTGCGTAACGGCACTGTAATCTTTGCTACAGTGGACTGTGTGAGAGGGCGCATAAACCAAATTGCCCATGATGCCGGAAGTAGCATGTCTATCCTCTGGACAGTTGCATGATCATAGCATGATTCAGCTAGCATGACATCAAGCTAAATCAAACTCACCTTGCTCCAATAGAGTGGGTCTCAGGGGGTTCAGCCAGCCCCTGTAGCTCAACAGATTGGTGGACATATGCCAGAGGGAAGCGTATGGGCAAGTGTGGGACTGAGGGTATCTTTCCAGGTGCGTAACGGCACTGTAATCTTTGCTACAGTGGACTGTGTGAGAGGGCGCATAAACCAAATTGCCCATGATGCCGGAAGTAGCATGTCTATCCTCTGGACAGTTGCATGATCATAGCATGATTCAGCTAGCATGACATCAAGCTAGCATGTTGGTCTGTTTACACTCTTTATGCATTTAAAGGTGGGGTAAGTGATTTCTGGTAGCCAATGTTGATATTTCAAATCACCAAAACAAACACGCCCTACCCCAAAAGGGTCTCGCCCCTATTTCCTTAGCTCTGCCCCACACATACGTACCCAAGCAACCCAGGCAACGATTAGTTCTGTGAAACAAAGCAAAACCAATGTTACACAGTGTCTTCACCGGACGTGAGCGGCGCGACAAAATTCTATAGAACTCATTATAATCAGTGATGCTGTCTACACTGGATGCGGCGCGACACGACAAATCCCCGACAGAAAACTGCTGCTGCGTTCTATTTATGACGTATTGACACAAATTTCAAATGATTTTCAACTGTCGCTTTGTCGCGTCCAGTGTAGACAGACTTTAACTGTCGCGGCGCGGCGCGACAACTGTCACGTCCGGTGTAGACATGGTGTTACTCACCTATCGAGAAGAAACAAAGCAACCTCGGCGTCCGATCGCAGGCCTCCCACTCCCTGAGTTCTCTCCAGCGCTGGAAAGCTGATCCGATATTTACACGGGTCCTACTTCTTGCCTTATCGTACGCCTTCTTTTGTTCCGCAGACGTTGTCCTCTTTTGTTTTTTATCCGCCATCTCTATCTTTCTGTCGCTCTGCTCACTAATGTCCATCCTGTGCTCTGAGCGCTCTTTCCTCCACATCATGAGTAGACACGCCCCTTACTGCTGATTGGCTACAAGTTTGTTTTGGTACTTAGCCCGACTTAGTTTTCTAAAGCGTTTTTGAAAAAATACATACTCCACCTTTAACTCAAATACTTTTGGATGATGTTTTTATTTAGGCGCAACTGATTTGGTTTCATCTCAAAACCAAATATCACAAAAAGAAAAGTTTGCTTCAGAGTAAATTTCTGACCTAAGTAGCATTGTGTCATCACATATGCTTTTTAAAAACTTTGCTGAGGAAAAATGTGTGAAAATATGATGAAATAAATATATTTTTTTCTTTTTTCTTTTTACAAATCTTTGTGTGATAGGTTGTTGTATGGTTTAATTTTATTAAAATAACTGCATCTACCAGTTCTATTCAACATTTTTCCCAATGTATTTCATTAATAATTTGCTTTGTTTTGCTCATAAGTGAGGGTACATCATACAGCATGTTTTGTATCTTGCCTGTATCTTTAAATAAAACATTCAGTGGGAGCCATATGTTGTTGTTTTTAATTCATAATAGAATTTCCAATAGAATTTCCAAAATAATTGTATAATTAATCACAGAACTTTGATTACTATTATAACCATTCATTACATCTTTGCAGGATTTAATTTCAAGGCTTTTTTCAAATGTCAATCTAGAACCTTGCACGACAAAAGCAGAAAAAAGGTAGTAAACATTTTCCAGTGGGAATCAAATGCAGGTGTTTGTGGCACACAGAACCAGATGGCTTTGATTGTGTTCTTTAATATGCAGGTTTTATATAAAACAGAATAAAAGTAGCCCTCTGGCCTCATTTATATATGTGTTGTTATTCTTAAAGCAGAAATTATGACATTTCATGCATTACAAGTAACATCAGCAACACCAAATTAAATACATCCTTAATTTCTTAATGTTTCTATAAAAAGACCATAGCAGAAACCATATCCTGAAGCTAAACTAGGACTGAAAATAGGTTTATAATCTTAGGAAGCATGTACACAGACTTGCGGTTTTCCAAGACGTATGGTTAATATTAAAGATTTACTGGCAGCAGGAGATGACGTTGATTTAAAATTATTCCATAAGGAGAAAGTAGACTGAACTCTTCAAAGGTCCAAAGTTAAGAACTGAATTATGGCTGCTTTAACAGGGGCAGGTCAGTGACCACAGACGGCCCTCACCATACAGCCCCCTCCAAAACTTCACACAGATAGAAATTAATGAGTGTTTAAGAAAAGAAAAAGATGCTTAAAATTTGATTTAACTGTAATTTGCTCAGATCCCATTGATTTAGAAAATAAGACATGCAAATTTAATTAGCTACTAATAATCTTCATTCCTACAGAATTTTGAATAGTGTGTAAAATATTAGTAACATAATGTGTAGAGATTTAGATACTACACGTGAAATGTGAATCAAGTCTATTTTGCTCTGTCAGAATAGCTGACGTGAACCTTGTGGCCTTTTCTGAGTGCGAGGGTTAAATGTCTGGTGAAGTGACGGTACAGGTGCTCAGTGTTAGAAGATGTGATAATACTACTGTTGTGTTGAAGCGTGTATTGACTTGAAGTGAAACATCTGGAAATATTATGTTTCATTGGGGGAGCTTAAAGGAACACTCCACTATTTTTGAAAATAGGCTCATTTTCCAACTCCCCTAGAGTTAAACAGTTGAGTTTTACCGTTTTCGAATCCATTCAGCCGATCTCCGCTCCTAAAAACCTCCTCATCTATCTACATTAAACGCTTATCAAGATCGAATGCTTCCCAGCAACCATTCGTCTGAGAAGATTCAAGAAGCCTCAAACAGTAAAATGTCCTCCAGTTTGACTCAAAAAAGCAAGATTAAAAAAAAGCAAGCATTGCTCTGCTTTGAAGAGTTTAATATATGTTCACTGGCCCATTTGCTATCTTTTGCAATCCCCTGTCTTCAGGTATAGCAAGAAGAAACAAAATTATTATTATTATTATTTTATAAATCTATCAAAAAAAAAAAGAGTCCACAACAGGGGTGTGTTTAATCTACTTTAGCATGCTTTATATTGATAATGTGCACTCAATATTCTTTGACCACTAGTGAGATATTGATCTCTAACCTGATAATATTAATCAGTTTCTTCTATCCACAGTCATTTTCACATTATCTTCAAAAACAGATATACTCTAAAGCATTGCAACAATATGTTCACACCACTGCTTTTCAATATTAACAGTCCCCACCGTATAACAATTGCTGTTCAAAATATCAATGCACAGTGTTACAAAGCATTATCAAGGACTGAAGCACTAACCACCTTAGCTCTTAAGCAAGCTACTTTTAATATTAGCATATAACTAGTACAATATTAATACTAAAGTCGTCAGCCATACATCTACATATTTGGTTTATAGATGCGAAAAGATACAAACATCCTGTGTGAACAGACAGAGTACTAAATAAAGGATCACCCTTGGTGCTCCATGGTTTGTCCTGTAAGAAATGGATGATGAAGTACTGAGCTTTTACTCATGACTTTGTCAAGGCACGTGTGCAGTGAGTTAATGCAGAAGTCAAATTTACTCCAATAAAAACTCTAAAACTGTCAAATGGAGCACCTCTTTAGTTTTGGGAAACTGTTAACCAATAATTAAGTGATTACAACCCGATTCCAAATTGCACTGGTGACTAAATGAGCTAACATAACATGTGTTCTCTTGTACAGTAAGAAGTGAGTGTATACGTGTTTTTATAGGCAGTGTTGTAAGAACTTTCTTTCATCAGTAGGGTTAGTTATTGGCTCCATCTGATGGTGACTCAGTGAAGTATTTCTATGAGGAGGCGCTTGAAGTCACCGCCGCACTCTGAGTTCAGGGCATCCTTCAGGGTCACGTCATATTTCTCCAAGTACATGTCTTTGATGGTCTCCAAATCCACCTGGAAGTGAAAGTGGAAAAGAAAATATGCTTTTTCCTTCTAGTACTTTCATGAAAAATGTCTTTCATGATATCAAGCCCATAATAATCCCTACCTCAGAGCGTCCCACAATTATACGTACGAGCGTGTCCTCGTCTGTCCCGGCTCCTTTCATGGCAGCGTTCAGACGACGGGCGAAATACAGCTGCGGGTTTTTAGCACATCGCACTGTTCACATAAAAACGAATCACCGTATGATTTGTGTGGTACTCAAATATCGAACACATGAAGTCCTGTTTTATTCCTTCAGGAGCTTACAGTCACTGCAATATGACTCTGATTCAAAAGAGCGAATTTCCAAAAGGCTTTTGAATAGTTTGGATGGTTATAGTTACCCAGAGTAATGTAACAGTCCTTTAATGTTCCTGTAGCCTCACTGTCTATCGCATCCAGGATATCTGTTCCAGAGAGCTATGGAAAGAAAACAAAAGAGAAATCAGAAACTCTGCTGAAATGGCTCAAGTAAAGCAGCGATAGGTATAACTGGCGTTTGACCGTACAGTTTCATATATCTTGAAGGTGGCCTGGAGCTGGAGGTAGTTCCTGTGAGTGAGGATGTAGGTGAAAGTGGACTCGTCTGTTCCAAAGCGGTCTTCACCCGCCTGTGGAAAACCAACAATTGGTAGTCATTCATTCAGTCAGCATAATAACCTGGGTTGCCAGGTATGTTTGACAAAAACACTCAAAGAGCCAATCAAATATATCCCAAAAAGAAAGAAAGAAAGAGAAAAATCCTGTGGAATAATGCAAATTCTGTGTGAAAAGCATGTACTTGGCAACCCAAAATACTTGTATAAAAGAATATAGAACAAGTTATACTGTAAACTCCTTATGTAAGCTGTAAACTATGTAACAGCAGAGTAAAGGTCACCTCAAACAATGACGTTGCATCCTGTTCTGCCAGTGCTTCATCCACTTCATACGACTCATCCCTGCTGGCCTGCAGGTGAAGGTCAGTTCTTTATAGCAAATAACAACTACAATACTTGGTAGCTTCAACTGATACATTTTTCCTGGTTAATTTTGCACT